ATGTGTAGTCACCACTGAATTTAGATCCTTACTTAAAAATGTCTGACTTTGATAAAGAAGTTAATTTCAACACAACTGTTTTTTTTACATGTTGACATTAAAAAAATTGAGCTTTTTACTGCCCTGAGTCTTTACTGCTGAGCAGGTTTCTCCTTCGTTGACCTGAAGGAATCGAGTCCATTGCTCCCTGTACATCTCTGACATGGACACCTAGCAGTCTGGACTTGGCTGCCAGTCTTGTGCCTCCTCCTGAATGTGTTAGGTTGTTGGTTTTGTATGATTTAAGTCATGCGACCTCTGCTCGGGTGAAATTCCATAGTCGAGTATGAGGCTGCGGTATGCATCCAGGCGCTATTTCAAGGTGAAACAGACGGAAGGAGTGACGGCCAGGGCAGCAGGCTAGGCATGTCACAGAGGTCTGGGCAGCCATCAATTTGTCAGGATGTCACCAGACTCTAAGCTGGTTGAGAAAGCCACGCACGTAAACACACACTCAATCCCAGGGATAAGCAGGGAAGGATTTGGCTCAAGATGGCCACTAATGTATTTAGTAGGACAGGTGCTTGGCTGAAAGCTGCTGCGCTAAAGATGATGATCGGAAGCCGGCTATTAATTATTTCTAGAAGGTTGTCTGTTTCCAGTGATGACGAAGATATAGTATGCAAACTGTTTTAGTTCTTCTCGTTATTAACATGATGCATGCTTATGTCATGCTGGCATGCGATGCCCTCTGTTGCTCTGTGATCAGGACAATGAGTTTAAATAGCGACTTTCAGGTGACAACTTTGTTTATGCAGCTCCACAAACAAGTCAGTACACTGACAGGCCTTTAATGTCACCAGTAGGTAAAACAAATGCTAGTGTTTAATAAGAGGTTCTTGGGTAATTCCCAATCTCTGTTTTTAGAAAGCCTTTTCCATAGATTCCCATTTCCTCCAGGCCAGGCATGCCCAAAGCCGCTGTCCTGCAGGTTTTAGAGATTCCCTGCTTCAGCACCGCTAATCTTAATGATACCTGATTTTGCTGAACTGAAATCAATGTGCTGAAGAAGGGAAACCTGCAGGACAGCAGCCTGCGAGGACCGACTTACGCCTGCCTGCTCTACAATCATGGCCACCAGCGTGATTTTTTTCCTCTGTTATGAAAATTGGTTAATAAGAATTTAATGCTGGAACAGAGTTCACAAAGAAACAAAAGACAAGGCTCTTATAGCAGCTATTAACATTTAGCAAGGTTAACACAGCTAGTATCACTAAAAGACTCTCTGAAGGTGCGTTCACACCAATCCAGAATTTTGCAGCTGGAGGATTTAGATGTTATTTCTATGTAGCGGAGAAGCTCTGCAAGGTGGTGAGAGGTGAAGATTGCAAATCATACAAGGCGAATGCTTTTAGTGAGTACAGCGAAGTGAGAGTGCTGCTGCACCTGCAGGGTACACCAGGTGAAATTTACAGGAGTAGGAAAAAAAAAGAACTTTTGTAAATATCATCCTTGGGGAAAGCAATCGGATGTGTGTTTGAAGTTGGGTGTGAATGCATAATGAGCGTTTATACTCTCTTAGATGTAAATTCTTGGCTGTTAGCTTTTCTAAATGCAGCATAACAAAGCTTAAAAACATCAACATTTAGAACACCAAAAGATCTGTTCTCCATTCAACCTTCCTGTTATCTTCTGAAAGTCTTACTCTCTCTTCTTTAGCTGCCTGAATGAACAGCAGACATTTAAACAGATTGTTAACATCTCTTTGCTTCCTCTGATATCATATAACCACGTTATGGACACTGAAAACAGCCAACTTTAGGTCGTATCTTATGGTAACGGAAGATTTTTATCTATTTATTTAATACTTAATGAAGACCATTCATCCCACAAACAAAAAAATAGATTTTTGAGTTTTTCAACTGACCAATTTTAATCAGTAAATCAACCATGAACAAGGACCATTTCTGCCTTTATTTTCAACAAAAACGCTTAAAAACAGAATTAGGTCTCCACACCAAATAGTTTAAACAGTTTTCGTGAATTTTTCCATCTGAATCACTGCTGTGTCCCTTTAACTACAAAGGAAGATAGCAGCTATGATACATGGCTTACTCCCAGATAACGACCCATTTCTCCCACTGGGTCCCGTTACATACCCCCACCCCCTTTAATGAAGGGCTTTCCTGTCCGCTCACACATACACAGCTGACCGTCCCAAAGCCTCGCCGTACGTTCCTCGCTTTTATTGCCAGCTTTTGTTCCTCTGATCACAAACACACACCGACCTCATCCACCCCCCACCCGTGTTCTGCCAACGAGGTGCACTAGTTAGAAACTACATTACCACCGAAACACTGACAAACAGCAGGGCTCTGCATTTCCAAGAACCCAAGAGGGAGTTGCACTTATTTGTTTTCAGGATGAAGAAGACTGACAAATGAACCCCCATGGGAGGGAAGCTGGCGGATACTTCTCCTTTCTTCTTCTCCGCTCTGCATGGCCCTGGAGTGTTCATTATGACCAGAATAGACACCTTTTTTTTAACGCCTTAGCACATTCTCAAAACAAGCTGTGGACCTGAGGGACGGCGAGGTGCAGCAGGAGAGTTGGGGATTCCTCCTCTGGCCGTCTGCTGCAGGGGGAGTGGTTTGCCAGCAGCAGGCTCTCTCCTGACCGATAATAGCATTTGGAAGTGGAGAAGATTGACGTGGATTAGGGAGATGGCTGCGGGGCTCTTCTGGTTGCCCAGTGCACCTTGAGGGCTAAAGGGATGTTTTAACGTTACAGATGGTTTACATAACGGAAAACATTAACTTGAAACTTTTCGCTCTTCTGAAGCGTTGGTTGTTTCTTATGTTCAAGCTGATCTCCTCTGACCCTGATAAGAATCGCGGCTCTGAATGGAGCAGCGATTGCTCGCTGAGCGTTTCTCTGCTAATGATGGATGCTCTGTCAGATCAGCCGGCTCCCGCTGGAGCTGGGCCGATGGGAGAGGTTTGTCAGGGAGATGGACGCCCCCGGTGACAGCTGGCTGCTGTCTCCACCCAGGGGACCTGGGGCCCGTCTAGAGCTTTTTGGCAGGTAAAGGATTTAGTTGGTTTCAGGAGGAGGGAGGGGGGACCCTTGTAAAAAAAAAAAAACAACCCATGAGGCCCCTGGAGCGTTAATTACAGTTTATGTATGCACTGTCATTCCCCATGAGCCTCTCTACCTCTGGAGCTGAGTGCTGATCTCTGAGGATGAGGTCCCTGCAGAGGAATACCCTGGATGGAGCTTATTATCTATTGTTCAGTGTGGCTTCAACACCGCAGACATTATGACTTTTTTATTTGGGCTAATTTGCTGCAATTACTGAAATGTCATCAAATGAAATCTGGCCGGACTGATGGGCGTCTTTCTTACATCAATGTTTCTTTGAGAATCGGTCATTGTACTGCAGCCAAAACCTCCAGCATTGTTTTTATGTATATTAGAGTTAATGTTGTAACAGTGACTTATTAAATGTCCAAACTCTGCCAGCTTAGATTTACAGATTTTAAATGAAGTGGCACTGAGTAAAATCTACAGAAACTTGGGATTTTAAAAACAACTCAGATCTACCTTCTGTCTCCTTGAACCCCAGTCGGCCTCAGCAGATGGCCGCTCACACTGAGCCTGGTTCTGCTGGAGGTTTCTCCCTGTTTTTACTCTCCACTGTCGCTACAAGCATGCTTAGTGTGAGGGATTGTATTTGAGTCAATGAGTCGATGCAATCATCTGGTTTTCCTTAGATAGAAAACTTTGAATCAATCTGACTGTATGATCTGGTGAACTGTAAAGTGCCTTGAGATGACATGTGTTGTGAATATAGAAATAGACTGAATTGAATAGAACATGTCCGTTTTATCTTCAGTATCTTCATTTTGGGTCTTGTGTATTTTTTTTTTTATTTTGGGTCCAGTTTTTGTTACTAAAGTTGCATATTTTCACATTTTTTTCTCCTTTTTCTGCTTTAGGTCCTGATTTTGGCATCAATGCAGTCTCCACCAATGGCAGCCGGGAGCCTCACGGCCCGGGCCTCCTCCAGGTGTCAGGCCTAGAGAGGAGCCAGGAAAGGAGCCAGGAGAGCTGCAAGGATCCGCAGCCTCCTGAATCCAGCACCTTGAATCCAGCTCTTCCCTCGCCACAGCCTGAGGGAACCGTCTTCCAGGCCCAATCCCCTCCACAGACCCTGACAAACGGCTCGGACCAGGCTCCGGCTCCAACCCGCTCACTTCCACACTCGGAGGCTCTCCCCACGCCTCGGACACCTGCAGCTCTGCCTCTCGCCCAGGGCCAGGAGACCTCACCGCCCCCTCTTCCCCGGCCCCAGCTACAGCCTGAACACCCTACCCACACTAGGCGTCAGCCCACCCCAAACCTTCACCCACACCCTCCATCTCCTGCCCTTCCGACCCACCACCCTCACCAGCAGCACCCTAATCAGACGGGGCCTCATCGGCCCCCATCGCGCTGCAACCCCAGGCCCCTTTCTGCCTACAACGGCCTCAACGGCCACAGGTAAGGTGCTCTGCCTCTCTCCTGTCATAAAACATTTTGCTGTATATTCTAAAAAAAACTCAATTCTGCTGTTTTTTTCTAAGCTATTATATATAATTTTTTCTTGTCTTTTTTTGGAAGATTTCAATTTTTTTCTTTAATTGAATTTTACAAATTGCTTTCTTGTCACACTGTGTTTCACAGGTCACATTTTCGTCCATTCAGGCTCGTTTTAGACCAATAAGAACGTTGCTAACGTTCATGCAGACAAATAGAAATGTATCTTTCCGCCCCCAGAAGTGAAGATAATTTCTGTGAAACGTAATTTAAAAGGAATGCAATTTTATAAAACTTCTATAAAACTGAAATTTGAAGAAAAAAAATCTGAAAAAGTAAAAACAAATGTGAAAAAACTAAATCTGAAAAAAAAATGTAAGAAATAAATATCAGAAAACTCAAATTTACTCTTAAGACATTCTTTTGCTTTTTTTTTAGATATTATTTTACTTAATTCTAGAATGTTCAGTGCATACACTGCAAGAACTATCTAGAAATAAGTAAATTAAAATTCTTAAATTAAGTATATTTACCGTTAATTTGAGTAGGTAAATTAGATTCCCAATGGAATGAGTATTTTCACTCTTAAAATAAGATAATTAGATAATATGCACTTGTAATAAGGCAATGCAATTGTTTTTTTTCTTGTTTTAAATATAAATTGTCTTGTTCAATTAGCAAAGTGTCTCACTTACCTCCTCAATTCAAGAAAAAATGCAATTATTTTAAGAAAAAGTGACTTATTTAGATTTAAATTTTTTGCAGTCTGATCAGGCTCCCATGTTTGAACAGAACATGAAATGTTTGAGTTTAAATAACATCTTTAAGTAAAATGTTTTTGAGTTGGTTTTAATTAACAATTTGAATTCAACTGAAATCTGAAAGGAGGATTAATCCCCTTTAATCCCTCTCGTTAATTATAATTTATTTAGAATGAGTGAAGCCCAACCTCTCTGCTCAGATATGGGATAATCCAGCCTGATTTCCAGCGTACGTCCATGTTAGTCCACCACGTCCCACAAGGCTGTCGGTAATCTGAGACTTCTTCAGAACCGGCTCCGTCCCATCAACAGCTTTGCCTCGCAGGCTCCTGGGACTTGGCTTTGCCTGCGTCTCCCTGTGCCAGCTTACAAGGCTTGCCAGCACGGCAACATGGCCTGGCACCCACTGTGCATAATCACGGCCGGGGCCCACAGAGAGGAGCGAGCACTGCAAATGAGCTTTTAGGCTTAAAGCAGAGAGCTGTGGAGACACAGGCTCTGTGACGGCCCCTGGGGGAAAACCCACGCACACATTCAGAAAGGCTGTTTGCTAACATGCTTGCACACCCCTCTATCCCTCTCATCCCATTTCCCATGCACATATTCTCTACCTGGCTCCGGAGGAAGCGCCGTTCAAAGACAGATGCTCGCTCTGTGGTTTGCCAGCGGTGCTTGTTTTGCATCCAGGGGTGTTGCGAATTTGGTATTTTTTCAGTTTACTTCAGTTTCTGTGAAAACCCCGAAGTCAGGCAAGGAGGCGTTTTTTGTAAATGGCATTGGAGGTGTGAAAACAGCGTACTGGGAATTGAATGTGGAAACAGATGGAGTTGAGGGGATGTGTGTTAACAAGTGTTAAATGCGACTAATCAAGTGTGGCTTAACTTCAACGTCCTTCTCCTGTTTTCTTCTTTATCCAGCAGCAGCAGGAGCAGCACCCCAGGCACCAAGCTGCACGGATCCTCTGCTTCCTCCTTGCACCTTCCCAACCAGCCGCCTGCTCCGGCGGCAGCTGCATTCCCTCTGCCTCTGGCTGCCAACCAGAGCGCCCCCCACGGCTTCCCGTCTGCACTGCAGCCCTCGCCACATCCTCACCACCCCAATATGTTTGCGACTCCAGCAGCATTGCCCCCACCACCGCCACTGACATCTAGCACCCTGCCGGTACCTGGACATCCTGCTGCTGGGAGTGCCTATTCAGGTAAAGGCATCACAGGATTAACCCTAAAGCGCACCATATTTGTGCAACTCATTTATCAAGACAGGATATTTTCATAAGTTGAAGGCATTTGATCTGCAGAAACATTTGCACCAAATAAATGATAAGATGGTGATCCGTTTGAGGAGAAATGCTCAGCTCTGCATCTTTTCTATGTATATGCAGAAGGCCTAATGATAAAGGTGGTACAGTAGCAGCCACTCAAAACGGCCCTTCCCAGTCAAACGCCCGCAGAATGGCAGCCCAGTTCCTGCAACTTGCAGAAAAATCCCCTCCATGAACCCAACATGTTTTTTTACTCTGACTCCACCCTCTCACTGAATTACAGGGTCTAACCAGGAGATGATGCTTCTCTTTGGATCTTAATGTCCACAAAACATGACAAAAAGAATATTTTGGTACAAAGATTGATATTTAAAAAGGAATTGTAGGGGACCAACTACTGTATGGCTCAACGCCCAGGGAGGCTGAGCCATACAGTAGGTGTCAGAATTTCCATCTGGGTGTTACTTTATGTAGCAAGTCAGAAAACCTGTTGGTAGCATTCAAGCCAAAAACTACTAAAGAGGATTAGGGCCACTGAAAAAATAAAAAAAAAGTTAACTGATTTTTTAATATTATTTCAGTTTAAAAAGGGAAAAAAGTCATAATTCTTACTTTAATCTTAGAATTTGAATCATAAGCTTAAAGGGCAACCCGAAGGAAGAGATGTGGGAGGACTCTAACTGTTAGCTTCACTGACAAAGATGTGAGTTGTTTGGGAAGGCCAGTAACACATTGGTGGAACATGGCGGAATTAGGTGACTTTTTACGTGCCTGAGGGGTCCTCAGTGATGCTGTTTCATTACTATAAAAGCAGAAGGTGATTAAAACAAGAGCTAGTTTAGTCTCTAGACAAGGCTAAAGCTTGATGCTAACATGTTTGTTAGCTATCAGAATTTAGTCAGAATTCTGAGAATTCATATTAAACTGAAATAATATTTAAAAATCAGTTAACTTTTTTATTTTTTCAGTGGCCCTAATCCTCTTCCATAAAAAACTATAATAACTAATTTAATCAAATGAGATTTTCACATTATTTGGCTTTCGGGTTTATGACACAACTCTTATAGGAGCAGCCATATTGGATTCTCGACCTTCCACTTTTCTGTCAGAATTCTGATTCAGGAGGCAATCTGCAATAAAATATGACTTCTTTGAGTAAAAAGACATTGTACCAAAGCACACCACAGTGCACACCATCGAAAACACTGTACACTGTATGGAGCTGACAGCCCAAAAGCAAGGAATATTGAGGTATCTGGGCTTTTCCAGTTAATTTTCTCTCATTTCCACTTGTTGTATGATGCACTCGCACAGCAGCAGGTGATAATAATTCACAATACATTTCTCTACATAACTGGTGACATTAATTCCACAAAGATAGTACTGATTTTGTTTAGTTGGTCGCTTTTTTTTTCCAAGCGTTGTATTTAATGAAAGACATACATGTCACTTAAAAATGTAATGGCTGTAAAATTAAATGTCTCACTGCATAATTAAAAAAAAAAAAAATATATATATATATATATATATATATATATATATATATATATATATAAAAATAAAATTGTTAGCATTATTTTAAAAATTTCCTTTTTTTAAATTTAATGTAACAATTCTATGTGGGTTTTTTTGGGGGGGTCACCAGTCCTATTTTTGAAGTTAGAGGCTGAAATGTTTAGGAAATGCTGCTATAAAGGATACCAGTGTTTTAAAACACATCTCGACAATTTTAGACTGATCAAACTTCAAATGCATTTTATTACTTTGCAGAGAAATTATTTTAAATGCTTTTAGGTGAGTGGTGTTAGGAGCCCTCCCAACACAGAGGCTAAATGTGTGTTTCCTTTTTCACTAGAGCTCAAGAAATCAGTATCTTCGATACAGAATGAAGACATTTGGATTTTGCTGAAAAGTTACTAATGAAAATGTAATAATTCCAGCAGCTCTCCCTTCCCAATAAGGTTAAAGATAAAAAATATGGCAGCGATGTGGAATAGAAGGGGCAGGTTACACTGGAGGAGAGGCCGTCTCTAATGTCAGCGCTCTTGTTGAATTTGGGAGAAAAGCTCCTGATTACTTGGAAATCCATCCTGCCTCCACAGGCTTGGTAAATGTTATTAGAACAGATGCTGCCGTCTCAGAGGGGCTCTAGTGTATCAAATCACAGCGTTTGACAGGTCCAGCAGTCAGACAAATCTAATCTTCTTGGGCTTTGCCTAAATTCAACATGACATGCTGATAATCCTGTTCATTTCCTGCTTATTTAGTGTAACTTTGTCATAGCTGCTTCAGAGAAGTTCATACATCTGGTTTAATATCATTCCAGCCTTTGTGGAAAACACAGAATTAATGCAAACAAATGTGATAATTATAGATTTAAATATAGTACTTTAATATCCCAACATAAAAATTAATATTAAACCAAAGCTGCAATGCTCCACATATTCTAAATTATATATATTCACATTCTAAAATTAATATTTTTATAACTAATATGTCGCTGTCAGACGGAAACCTCGTATGTCCAAAACCATAAAGTTTACAGGAAATTGTAAAAAGAGCGACAGCGGAAGAGTCCAATGGAGTAACGAGATTAAGTCCCAACCTTTTTTCAACACTTTTAATTGGTTAATATTTTCCAAAACATACGTTCGCACGTGGGGACTGACCAATCGTATCAATTTATGAAGAAAAAAAAAAAAAGTCCAAAATGGGAGTTACAAAATAAAGTTAACTGATTTTTAAATAACAACAAGTCAGAAACAAGTCAGAATTCTGACTTTAATCTGGGGATAAGATGTGAGTTAATTTTATGTACACATTGGTGGAAAATGACAAAATTAGGCAACTTTTTACGTGCCTGAGGGGTCCCTGGTGATGCTATTTCATTAATGGAAGAGCAGAAGGTGATTACAAAAGAGAGCTAGTTTAGTCAGATTAAAGTCAGAATTCTGAGAAAAAAGTCAGATTTCTGCATGTGTTGGATTCCATAAAATATTACTGTAATGTTTAAGGTAAGCCAGCAGGTGGCCGTGGCATCAACAGTGAAGAACATGAAGAAACACAAAGATTAATGAATCTGAGCCAGGATAAAATGAGAGAGAAAATAAGTAATGTTCTCGTACTTTTACTCTCCTCGTACTCGTCATCTCCCACTTATCTTGGAACAGACAGCTCCTCTCTGAGAAGCCTATAAATGTCAAACATAAAATAAAATAAATATGGCATTTAATTTTATATTATTGATTTCATTGATTTTAATTATTCATATCTAATAATTAAACCATACATAAAAATACACAAAAAGAGGACAATAAAACAGACATATTAAGCTTTTAAACAGAAAATAGTACTTTGTTTGTGAATCATTCAAGTTGCCAGAGAGACTTAAAGCAGGAAGACTGAATGTTGTGGAGTCGATGTGAAGGAGTTAGAAACGTTCTCAGCATTTTCACAGGAAATACACACAGAAGCAGGTTTAGCAATGCCCGCTGTGCTAAACTGTAATTGCTCAAATGAAACGCAGGAGAAATGTCCACAAACAGCTAATGGCTGCTCATTTTAGAGATCCGTTATATTACTTCCCTGTAGAGAGAAATCAGGATGACATTATAAGGAGAACATGAAGTTCTGAACTTTGCCTTTAAATTAGGCTTTGAGCCGGCCGAACTATCGATTATAGACTGATATTTATCCACAGATCATATCTACCTCTGTTATGATCTGAAAATCCTCCACTGGTGCCATCCGGGGTGTTGATGGCAGCAGCACAGCTGATATTTCTCTCCAGGATGGAGTCACAGCCAAAGTGAGAAGTACTTTCAGTCGACTGGTTGTTAAAGCTGTTGTCGTTCTTCTTTATTCCAGAACAAGACCTTCTCCGTCAGGAGCTGAACACGCGATTCCTGGCCTCCCAGAGCGCAGACCGCGGCGCCTCGCTGGGCCCTCCCCCCTACCTGCGAACAGAGTTCCACCAGCACCAACATCAGCATCAGCACCAACACACCCACCAGCACACGCACCAGCACACGTTCACGCCCTTCCCCCACGCCATCATGCCCACCCCAGCACCGCCCATGGTGCGTACCCCAACCAGAAATGTGAGGATAAGTAGAACGCACCTGTGTTGGGCTGAGGGGTTTTTGTGTTTTTTGTTGGGGGTGTTGTGTTGTGGACGTGATGTGCCGGCAGCAGGAGGCGGTCATGGTCCATGCTGCTTTGTTCTATGATGACTGTGTGTGTACCCCAAACCAGTTCCTTTATTCTCCCAGAAATAAAAAACACGTTATTCCTGTTTTTTCTGGCATATTCTAGAACTCCGGGGCCTTGACTGCTCTTATTTTCTAAATTGGAAATAAGTTGCCCAAAGCCTGTAAAATTCAGAGCCAGCTTTCAGAACATAATACTCTTAATTCATTCTGAATTTAATGACATCATTTGGTCCCGTTTGGGGGTTTTCATTACTGGCAAATGCGCTGCGTTTGAGCCGCTGCTGTCTGTTAGAAACGACCACAGGCAGTGGGTGCCTGACATAAATACTCAAGCATTCATAACTGCATGGCCCCGCTGAGCATGGGCTTGGCTCTAAAGATACCTCAAAGGCATCACGGCGAAGCCTCTGACAGCTAATGAGGCCATAAAAAGCCTCTTTATGGCCACAGTGTTTAGTCTCCACTGTGGAAATGTCCGCCCTGAGCTTACAGCCGAACGAGAGCCAGCCCACTCTGGTTTACAAGGTCTTCACATGATCACAAACAGGGAGAATAAAACAGGCTGGCTCAGGGAGCCGTTTGACTTGAGTCTCATTTCCCGTCTTCCATCTTGTTTTGTTTGCATGGGCTTCGTTCTCTAATGTAGTTTGTGATGTTTGAAATCAAATAAGCTGGGGGGGGTTTGTTTGATTTTCCTCTTGGTAATAATTCATGAAGTTTGACTTCTCCTCTTACGTTTCTGTACTTCGCTCTCTTTCATTTTTTCCTACAGTTTGACAAATACCCAACAAAAGTCGATCCCTTCTACAGGCACAGTGTGAGTTTCCCTACTGCATGCCATCTCCTCCTGTATGTTCCTGTGACGCTTTCCTTTCAGCAGCTAATGTGGAATTGTGATTGTTACTGGTAAAACATAACTAATTGAATTTAATGTTACTTCATTGAAAAAATAACTCGGTTACTTTGTTGATTACACGCCCAAAAGTGATAATCTATTGTTGAAATAATTTTTTTGTTAAAATTCTTACAAATAAATGCTCAAAACAGCAGCATTTCTTCCAATGCGGCTGTTTTTCTTTTAGTTTGTGCTGGGACTCCATCCTGCTGATTTCCTCTGCCTCTTTGACAGCAGCTGCTCATTGTTCTGACCTTTATTTCCCTCCTTTGTAAAAACTAAAACCACCAATATAAATTATCTTATTCCCTCTTTCTGTACACTCGCAACTTTCTTATCATACATTCCTAATATTGGCACGATTTTACCTAATTAAGCCAGACTAAGACTAAGTTAGACTAAAAGAATATAATACAAGTACTGAAAGAAGCATACATTATTTTAGGGAGTTTATGAATTTTACACTGAACCATGAATTCCCGGATTTTGTAGCATTACATCTTTTCTTGTCCAGATTAAAAATCTGCATTATCCGTTGTAAAAACTTTAAAGTCATAGGGAAGTCATGTTTAAATGTCAAATCATTCTGGCTTAAACATGTATATAAACGTTCTCTTTATCAGACTATATTATCCCAAAATTTAGCAAATTTGTATTTTTTTTTTTAAATCCTGTATTAAAATCAGTTTTTTTTTTTTTTTTCATTATCTTATACAGGCCAGTTAGTTATACGTCAGCCTGAACACCTGAATTCGGCCAATCATATATCAACGATCATCTTTCAATCAAATTTTTTTGGTCATAGCATCTTGATCATATGTCGCAGCTAATATACGCAGTGGTTGAAATAAGAATCATTTACTTTACCATTGAGTTACGTCCCAGTGACTCATCCACGACCTCCGACACTAAACTCTCCTCCTCTTGCATGTTTCCTCTGTTCATAGCGTTCCTTGACAGTGTGGTTTCTAAGTCACCAATTTAGTGCTACTTGGTCCCAATGGAATTTCCCATTGGGAACCTACTAGCACTAAGTTGCTAACTAGTTAGCAAGATGCTTCCAACAAACCGGCCACAACCGAACTTGCTTGCGAACCTTCCGCCACAGCAATCCCGCCCCCTTGATAAACGACCAGTCACGTTCACTTTATTCACTCGTGTAAAGTCGTGCAACACTGGGGAGAATTCGGAAATGCAACGATTTGAACAGCTGTTTCCCTACGACTTTAAGCTTTTTTTTGGCTTTGACCTGAAACTGGAACTTCCATTTTATGCTGGTTAAGCTGGACAGGCTATGATGGCTTTTTCCTCACTAGTGTTTATGTCTTACCTGCTCCCCTCCCTAACATTATTCTTAAAGCTCTTCATGGAGAGTTTTCTTGTTCTTAACATCTGCTTCCTCTGTATACTCCTTTCTTTTCCACGCACCAAGCTATAGAGAGCTTTGCTTACCAGATATCCAAAAGTTACCAAAAATTAGTTTCAGCAAATCGGTTGGATTTCTTATGATGGAAGAATTTTAGAAGTAAAGCTATTGTCTCGCTGGGCTGATCTGTTTGACCAGATTGGTTGTAGTGTAGGGCTGTAATGTGCTTGTGCTGTCCCACTCTAATGCGCATGTCCAATCTGAATAAATGCTACCAGTTGGTTCCTTCTTGATCACCATTTAGAGGCCATCTCCTGCCCCTGGTTGGTATCTTCTAACCCTCCCTGTTTATTTTTTCATTTGCAGCTTTTCCACTCATACCCTCCAGCCATGTCCGGCCTCCCACCTGTCATTCCCCCTACTGGACCCTTCAGCTCCCTGCAGGGTGCCTTCCAACCCAAGGTAAGATGCCACTATGAGATGCTGTGATAATTAGCGCCATCTGGACACAAGCATTCATATTGTTGAATTCATCTGTTGCCTGTTTGTTTCTTGGTGGGTTAGCAGCAATACCTGTCATGTTTTAGACATTTTACAATTATAAGATAAAGGCCAAATGGTTAAGAATAAACATCTTTAATTTCTAAATTTGTAATATGACGCTTTTATCTAATTCAGCATCAATCAGAGTATCCCAGAAGTAGACAGAGTTTTAAATTGAGCATGTCCCTTGAACTGGAACTCGGTTAACTGATCGTTCGGACAGATGATCATTTCCCTGTTGGTCCACTGCGCTTTGTGTTCTTTGTTGTTAGTCGCAACAGCGGGCTGCTGTGACAGCAAATCCCATAATGCTTTGAGAGAAGAGATCTCCACGCAAAGCTTTCTGGGATATATCTGCCTCTTCTATAGGCCTTTCTTTATACAATTCGTAGAGACTTTTTCTCTTACGACCCTCGGCCATTTTGAAAGAACCGCACTCAGAAAGGTGAGCTTCATTGACTGTCTGAAACCGTAGCTCACCACAGATACACTCCTGAAAGTGCGCAAAAAAAAGATAGCTACCATTAATATCTGGGCACAGTGGGTTTAAGGATTAAAAAGGTTTCAGATTTGTTCTATTAAAATTTTACTCTTCTGGTCACAGGTTTTTGTGTTTGCATCTCTAAAAATGTGGTAGTGTCAGGGTTTTTTAGGTTCTTTTTTCATGTTTCCTATAAATTCATCACATCATACCTCAAATCAAAGACAAAGAAAAATCTAACCATTTCTTTTCTCTGTAGACATCTAATCCATTGGATGTTTCCACCAGACCTGGGGCGGTCCCTCACACATTCTTACAAAAGGACCCCAGGGTAAGAAAGTCTGCTCACAGTGTCGGGTCATATTTTCAGCCCTAAATGACGTAAGTATTTAACTAACCTATTTGCATCTTTTCCTCTCTCTCTCTCATAGCTGACGGATCCATTTCGGCCTATTCTAAGGGTGAGTCAGCTCAGTTCATCCATACACTTTTTTGTTTTGTTTCCCCATCATCACCTCACCAAGTGAACCATGACTGGCAGGATGGAAAGGCCTTAATATGCTCAAATTATCCAGCACACAGAGGAATCCCTATGCTGTTACTAAACAAATCTATGGGTGTGTTTGTGAAGCTGAAAACAGCGAAACAAAAAATCCTCTCTGGACTGGCTTTTAACATTTGATGATTCATATAAATTGAATGGAAATTTGCTTCTTGTGTAAATCCACTCTGTGGGATGTTCATAATTGTACTTGCTGAGGCTAACTAGCAAAAATGAGTCAGAAATTATCTATTATTGTTAAATAATTGGATTTTCTGCACTGACCTCAAGAGTGGGTTGGCTTGTTCAATTCAATTTCAATTCAGTTTATTT